TGGTTTTGAGATCGCTTCCTTCTCAGTGGGCCTGCTGTAGCGGCTCCGACCCCTGGAGTGTGGCGGCTCGGTGACGGCGGGAAGCACGTGTTGTGAACCTCTCTGGCCACTCCCCTGACCTAACCATTGACCCGACGGCCCTGGACCGTGTTCTTTGGCGGTCTTGGTTGGCTGCCCTTGTCGCAGCAGCAGCTGCTTCCCGATAACCACGTCTGTGTCMGTGTCGCAGAGAAAGAGCGACAATCCCCACGTAGACACGTGACGGAGGGCCTTTTGATAACAAGCACACCAAAAACCCTCTATAAGAGGAAGATTTTAATTTTTATCCGACCGGAAGTCTTGGGCTTTCGGATCAGAGAACCGTTCTCTGGAATGTAAAGGTGTCACCTGTTGTAAACTAGCAGCCCTTTAAACATTCTTGGACTTGCTAAGTCGTCCTAAGGTGGAGTAGAGAGTCAAAAAGACAGCACTCTGTCTTTAAACATAAGTGTCTTTACATTCTGGGGAAAATAAAAGTCAAAACCGTTAACTAAAACCCAACCTTCAAGAATGTGTTACTCTGGAAACCTTTAGCAGGGACACAACTTGTAAAGTTGCTGAGGGAAAAGAAGTATTTAATCAGATAGGGCAAATAGAGAAGGGATGTTTTGTGAAATACAGTGAGAAAATTCTACTCTTAAACACCTGCTTTTACCCAACTCAGTCTTCTTCAGTTGTAATGCATGCTAGCAGAGGTCAGAGGATCCCATTTTCAAAGAGGAAAAATTCTGAAGTTTCTCCTTCCAATGTAGTAGACATTGCCTGTCTCCATTTTTTAGATTAATTTCTTAATGATGAACGTAGTTAGAATATTAAAGTCCGTTTTGTGTGTGTAGTTAGATAGGGCTTCCTCAGAATATTTATCCATAAGTAATCAATGCAGGGCTGGGGATGTTGCTCAAGCGGTAGCGCGCTCACCTGGCATGCGTGTGGCCGGGTTCCATCCTCAGCACCACATACCAACAAAGATGTTGTGTCCACCGAGAACTAAAAAATAAATATTAAAAAAAAAATTCTCTCTCTCTCTTCTCTCTTTAAAAAAAAAAGTAATCAATACATTTCATTTTAGCTGAGAAACAGGGGTTCATTAAGATGGAAAGAGAAAACAAGATTACCAACCCCTGAAAAATCACACCCTTCACTATGCTTAAGATTCACCATGTACACTGTGGCCTGCAATCCCAGCAATTCTGGAGGCTGAGGCAGGAGGATTGCAAATTGGAGGTCAATCTCAGCAATTTAGGGAGACTCAGCAATTTAGCAAGTCCCTATCTCAAAATTTAAAAAAAGGACTTGCGGATGTGGCTTAGTGATGAAGCACTCCTACTTCAATCCTCAGTACCAAAAACAACAACCAAAAGAAAAGAAAAGAAAAGTTTGACTATGTGCTAGATGAATAGTTTTAGTTACCAGAGATTTAGGGAAATTTTTACATTTTCCAAAAATGTTGTGTATCTACTTGTTTTTCCCTAAATTTCGTTGACAAAAGATATGTTCTTTGTATAGTTAGACCTCATTAGGCAAAGGATTTAAAATAAGAATGGTTAACTCAGCAATGTACTAAGGAGGGTGAGGCAGAAGGATTCCAAGTTTAAAGTCAGCCTTAGTAATTTAGTGGGACCTAAACAACTTACTGAAACACTGTCTCAACATTTTAAAAAGGGGTTGGGAATGTGACTCAGTGTTGAAACGTCCCTGGGTTCAATCTCTAGTAGAAGAAAGAAAGAGAGAGAGAGAGAGAATGAAAGGGAGAGAGAAAGAAATGTCATAATGAATCCTGCAAAACAGGATAAAATAGTGCGGAAGCCATTGCTGAGGGTTTTCAGGGAAAAGATAGGAGATAGCAAGAAAGATAAGGTAGTTTTCTATTGCTGCTATAACGAACTATCAAAAACTTTAATGACACAAATTATTTCATGGTTCTGTGGGTCCAAAATTGGATRTGAATCTAATGAAAGTCTAAATTAAAATCAAAGAATTGGCTCTAGGGACAAGATTTTTTTTTCCTGTTTTCTGGAAGCCACCCAAATTCCTTAACTCAAGACCCCATTCCTTCACCTTCAAAGCCAGCTGATATGTCTTTCTCTTGCTCCCATCTCTTTGATTATCTTTCTTGTCTCCTTTTTTTTTTTTAAGAGAGAGTGAGAGGAGAGAGAGAGAGAGAGAGTTTTTTAATATTTATTTATTTTTTTAGTTCTCGGTGGACACAACATCTTTGTTGGTATGTGGTGCTGAGGATCGAACCCGGGCCTCTCGCATGCCAGGCGAGCGCGCTACCGCTTGAGCCACATCCCCAGCCCTCTTTTTTATTTCTTATCGTCAGTTTCCCTTATAT